CCACCAGATCTCCGATTTAGGGTAACCAATGGCTATACATTCTAATTCGTAGACCTTGTTTATTTCATAGAATTCTACGGTATTCATCATTTTAATAGCAGGGGAACCGCTCACTAATAACTGCATTTTTATGTTTGTCGACATATCACTCGTTTTTCCCAACTTTAACCAAACATTATGAACATTTTATATAATTACTCAAAATTAATTATCAAACAACTGACCAGCATATAAGTGCCACTGTCCTCGAGTTCAATGCTCTTAATCTCTAAATATGTTTGTGGAAACTGACAGTCAGTTTTAACACCTGTCAGGAGATGTTTGTGATTCTTCTCGATTTGAATATCATTTTTAAACCAAAATAGTTGTACGGATTCAAAGTCTGGGAATGACTGGACGTCCACTAGAAATCTGATCATTTCTCCCACTCTACTGATGAGTGGCTTTTCATTATTAATATTCATTGAAAAGTTTACATATGACGGGGGCAGACCATTCTCTGTGAATACATTTCATATAACTGTTAAAGGGCTTACTTATTATTCCATGGTACAAAGTAATTCTACATGTACATTCTTTATATTAATTTGTAAAACTAATACCGGTATTAATTACTGATAAAAATAAGACAAATACCGTAAACCGTGACTTTCTTGGAAGCACTGAACACTCTTCCGTTGCCATCCGTCACATTGCAGTGATATATACCTTCGTCTTCCATCTGTGCACCAGTTATGGTCAGATTCCGAGACACCGTATCATATCTATTACCATTAAATTCTTTTCTCTGAGTTTCAGCCATCGATTCCACGGATCTTTCTAAAGTCTAATCATTTGAATATCGTTTAGTAGACATTAATTAATAATTTATAAAAAGAGAACAAATGTCATACATTTTTATTGGGGACGTCCCACGTAATCTCAATTATAACTCCGAGTTCAATGTGAACAAAACATTTTAATGTGAAAATGCTGTTTATGAACACATTTTTAGCTCTACTGTCATCGATAAGAGGATGCAATTCCACCGGAAATACTATTATCCAATTCATAAAAAAATTTCATTATTTATTCTAGTAACTACAATCCGTATTATCCTACATTGTTTATTGTGTATTACTACTTTATACTAGTACAGTATACTCTATTGCATATTTAATACTATGCCTTTAGTTTAGTTTATTCTGTAAGTTTTAACCCATATCTTTAAAGGTCAGATTTGCATAATATATTATATTTTTGTATTACTACTTTATACTAGTACAGTATACTCTATTGCATATTTAATACTATGCCTTTAGTTTAGTTTATTCTGTAAGTTTTAACCCACATCTTTAAAGGTCAGATTTGCATAATATATTATATTAGTATATATATATATATAAATTTAAATTAATGTAAATTAGCAGAGTTTATAGAAAAAACAAAAATATAGAATTTAATTTTATTTCCTCAAATATTTCTCTAATTATGGAAAGTTTGAAATTAAATTATTGTTCATATTATAGATATAAATTAAATTATAGATTCAACTAATTTGACGTTATTATCAATAGATTAGATAAAAATTAAATTAAAAGACATGTTGAAAATGTTTATATTAACGAGATAATTAGGATCAAGGACTCACTCGACCAATGAATGCTTATGGATGATATCATTTCTGTGTTGTCTAACTCCACTTTACACTCCAGAAGACTGGTCTCCCCGTCCCAACGCGGATATTCAAAGTGATAGCCTTTCTTCGAGTTATAAGTGATTCCCAGAGTATTATTGACAACAATCTCTGAGTTGGTGTGCACTTTCCACAGCGAGAGCTTAGCTCGGGAATCGGTAGGTTTGCAGGGAATGGTAGCCGGTTGGGACTGGAATACTGCGATGAACATGAAGTCATAGTTTCCCTCATAGGGAACAATCAGATATTCCGGATCTGTGTTTAAACAATGGATTTACTATAAGAGTTACAAAGTAGTGAACACTTGCCGTTCACGAAGATATAGATTGTGTCCGACTTGTCCCCAATGGACGAGTCGTTGTACTGACACGTGAAATAACCGGTCATTTCATAATTAACTTCAGGTATGACTACATCCGTCACACACTTTAAGTGCTGGTTGTCATCACATTTGCTCTTAATTTGGGCCACTTTTGACACGGGGTCGTACTGCTGAGCATCCGTATAATCCATGCAATCATATTTACAATTAAATGTTTTAAAATTTTTATATTTAAATTTATTTTAATATATACTTCTAAAATATTTTTTAATTTTGTAATATTTACTGTAGAATTGTATTCATTTAGTTAGAAAAACATTTTTACTTTGTTTGTCATGTTATATTTTTTTACTGTAAAAAGGATAAGCTTTGTGTTGGCAAAACTAATTAACTGTCATTTACCGGATTATTATTGGGAAACTGCCAGAACATGGGCTTATCGCCCGTACACTTCAGATGAAGACTAGTATTTGCCATAATATCAATGGTGTCTCCATTCATGGCCGGGGATAAAAGGGTCAACTTAGGCGGCGGTGTCTGGAATCCAGTCAATACACTAACAGTACTGGAGATGGAGAACAAACTCATTATGGCATTCAAATACATGTTTTGCATAGTTTNTTCAAATACATGTTTTGCATAGTTTCACGAGTTATCACACATTAAGTTACTTATTATACAACAAAAGAGTTTTGAACTTTTGTGATACGTTAAGAAAATATTCATTTTATAATCAAAACCACAGTTTTATTAAAACTAACACTTTGGTAAAAGTGTTGAAAACACATAATTGGATTGAAAAAGCTTTTTTTAAGCCGTACTAATCAATAATATGACAAAACTATATTATGTGGTGATTATACAGCAAACGGATACAAAAAGCGGATGTTTGCCACTGACTCTCAATCTCGATCTCATTGAGTCTGTGCTCTCTGTTCGCCTTCCGATAAGGATTGACTCAAACGCTCATATTTTTTGGACGCTTTTTATCACTACAATTGTTCACAATTTTGGTCATATTTGACAAAAGCAATATTTCCGCCTCTTATACACTGATGTATATCTATTCGGCAGAAATATTCCCGACAGTAGTCCGGAGTACAGGCATTGGTTTGTGTCAAATGTTCTCCCGGATCGGTGGCATCATTGCACCACATCTTATAGGACTGGTAATTCATTTTTAATTAAATACTTCATTATTTATTTTAATTTCTATTTTGTATTTGTTAGTCATATTTTGGAGATAAAGTTCCCCTTATATTTTGCGGAGTATTGGCTCTAATATGTTGTGTATTATCAATGAATTTACCGGAAACTCATTGCAGACCACAGTAACTTAAATGAATCTAAAATGATAAACCTAATTCAAAGTTTGAAAATATTTATGAAAACGTGGAGACAAATGGGAATAAGACGTGCAATGGATTCACGTTTTCAAACGAACAGTATTTATACTATGCGGTCGTATCGAACCAAACGGAACTCCTAAAAGTCAATGAAATGACAGTAGTAGCCGCTGCCCTCAATGGTTAGTCACCATTGAGATCTATGTCTTATGTATTTAATAGTTATATTGTCTTAATTCTGGTCACAAATCACTTTCATATTCTTCAGGAAATATTGTATTCATTACATGTGGTTATATAGTGGATGGCCAGTGCTCTGGGGATTACCTTTTTAGCTCAACCTGTAGTTTAGTGTCGTCGACCGCTAAACTAAGCCCACCCCTCACTAATCGACCAAATTTGGTGAAACAAGAAGTCATTTAAATATGTTTACAATAAATACAGAATATTTGTATTTTTAAATATATAATATAATAATACAATCATAAAAATAAGGCACAAAATATATAAACAGATAAAAATTTAAATATTGTAAAAATGAGAAAATATCATAAATAAGAGTTTTGTATTTGACATTAATATACGGTGTTTTAAAAATTCAAATGACATGACTATATGGCGGTGGAAGACAGATATCGGATGAGTTGGAACTATAGTTATGATTATTTTGGCTATATTTCCCATTTTTAGTAAATAATATACAATTATTTGAATCCATAGTCAAATAATCGCTAGTTTGGCCCTCTGTTTGCATCCAACTTTTGTTGTCGTATTTCTGGCCATAAGAGTCCAACTGAATCATAGGCACCACTTCCATGGGCTCTAAAGGGACCGGGATATTTGCGTCAATGGGCCGAATGTGTCCCAAATTGTCGTAATGATTCATTGGATCCGATATGCGCTCGTCATTTGTCTCATTAGCCTTCATATTAAGGTAATCGCCGTTAATCTCATTACGTGACGAAGAATTCATTGATGACATCCGGAGGTAATCATTATTATTGAGTATCTGTTCGTTCATTGTTTGATACGGGTCATTCAGATCTAAGTAATGCTATCAATTATAATGATAAATATAGTACAATGTTAGTTCATATAAATACTATTAACAGGCAATCATTATTTGCATTACTTGTCTAACATTAGACTCTAAAAGAGCTCCAATAATATCCGCGATTTCCATAAAGTCTGGCCTGTCTTTAGGCTCAGCTCTCCAGCAAAGACTCATTAATTCATAACTATATTTCAAATTCAACACAAATTTAGTTATCTATTGTATGTTTAGTTATTTAGTTTAGAGTTTACATATCGTTTGGAGCAAAGTCAGGCTTTTCCATACGGTATCCAGTTTTCAATCGCTTATAAAATTCTTCATCGATTTCAATGCCTGGATAGGGATTGCCTCCTAATGTGAAGAACTCGTATAACAGAATACCAAACGACCAGACCTTTAAGTAGAAGTATATTCAAATACATAATTGAAACACTATTTGAAACTTTTGTAATTACATCGCTCTTTGAAGTAAACACTTTATCTCTGATCGACTCAATAGCCATCCATTTAATAGGAAGCGGTCCGTCATTCTTCTTCACATAATTATCGTATTTATAGACATCTTTGGCTAAACCAAAGTCACATATCTTAACAATATTATCCTCAGCGAGTAATACATTTCTGGCGGCAAGATCTCTATGAATGAGCTGTAAATATGCCATAAATTAAATGATAAACTTATTTCAAAGTTACCAAAACGTAATGTAAAGGACATACCTTCCTGTGGGCCAAGTATTGCATTCCTCGGGCGCATTGAAATGCAAAACACAGCAAATCACAAGTAGTGACGACTTTGTCTTTGTTTCGCTTATGTACGGACTCTCCCCTATAACCTCCCGAACCATTGGCCGAACTCGAGTCCTGACCCGTCTCTTGACCCGTATTACCGTTACTGTTCACTGATGTGATGTAACCGTTAGTATAACTACCGGAGTGTTGATTATGCAGTATATC